ACCTGTAATGGCCGACTGAAACACTCGCTGCACGCTCATTTAAAGCGGTAAACTGTGAAATATTCTTCATGCCATCACTTGTTTTGACAAATACTATTTCTGTTCACAAACTACTCCAAATAATTAATAATAGGTTCCCTCTGAAGTTCCTCATTAGCTCAGTTTTTTCCTCATAGATTTGAGCTCAGGCTTAAAAAATGAGAATATGACAGCTTGAACATCTGCTACAACAATAGTTGTGACAAGATGTCTCTGCACTGTAAATATAACTCTAATTAGTGGGATTTACTCTTTGTTTGTAGCATCTGGCTGCAAATAATCTCCCAGATAGAAAGCGGGTTTGACTTGAGGCCCTTTGTCTCTCATGGATAATAATAAAAGTGGTATTTATCATCAATGATTTCTGACATAAAAATCTGTAGGAGTGCGCAACAGATATTTACACTGCAAAAATGCAAAATCTAAACATTTTTTTGATCTTGTTTCGAGTGCAAATAACTTGCTCTTCAAATAAGACAAAACTAAGATCAAAGTTACTTCAGCAAGATATAGGAGGTTGTTTTAAGTCAATAATATGGCACAAAAAGGACATGTTCTACTTTTAAAATGACCTGACCCGCATGTTTTAGGAGATGCGGGGGGAACCGGAGCGCCCGGGGAAAACCCATGCAAACACGGGCATTCATTTTTGTTTACATTCAGAGAAGATGGAAGTTGTACTCAGTTTCTTCTTCACACTAAACCACAAGAGGGCGTTCTAGGCCTGTGTTATTCTACTTTAGAAGTTAACAGAGTTGTTTAAAGGCGACATCGGGAACGAAGATTTAATTGCGTTTACAAGATGGTAAACTTGTTAGCATGTTATTTATGCTATAGTTATCGGACTAACTCTTAATATGTTATGCTAACATACCAGACACGTTCTCAGTTCATTGTTTGTCATGTAACGTTAGCATACCGCACAATTATTCAGCCTGTTGTTTCCTCTATTCTATTTTTCAAGATGACATGTCTGTTCTCGGTGTTGGATTTTATCAAATAAATTTCCCTCAAAAATGCGACCTATACTCCGGAGCGACTTATAGTCCAGAAAATACGGTTCATCATATCTGGGGAAAGTCTACCGTTTTTTAGTTTATTTTAATTGCACACTACAAAAACACAAAATCTTAGTAGCATCCAGCCTGTTTCATTCCTTTAGTGCCTAGTGAATCTAATTAGCATCATTCCAAAATCTACACTAGAATTAAATGAAATGATTCATCTTTACTTAATTAAACAACTAATTAACACCAAAAACTCAAGTAATGATATTTTTGTACAATTTAAGTCATGGTGGGTTAGACTCTTTTAGGAAGTTTTGTATTTTTTTAGTTCTTAAAAGGCAGAGATGAGAAATTATATTTTCTATAGTATTAATTTGTTTCCTGCTGTATTTGGCCATAAGAAATCTTTGTTTTCTTGACTCCAAATTAAGAGTTAGGAGTTTTTCTTATTTTGTCTGCTTCTTTTTTATATATATATGCATATCAAAATGTTTCTTTCTCTCAAAACTTTACCAATTTTGCACCAAGGAGGCTTGAGTTTCAACTCCAAAACATTGGAAACAACTGAAAGTTCAAACACAAGCATGAACCGAGAGCAAGATAAAGTTAATTCAGTTTCATTTAAGACTTCCTGAAGCTTTGCAAATGTTGCAAATGTCCCATTAACCCAATAAGCCAACTTAGCTCTGATCATAAGCCTCTCATCTTCCTGATGCACAGCAGGAAACGTAAACGAATGAGACACCAATGGGTTTGATCTTCCATGCTTATTTACAATGCTGAGCGCGTAATCCGAGTCGTGACCTGTTGATAGAATCAGTAAATGCAGCATAATGCTAAAAGTTGAACTTTAATATCCAGCATTACTCCATTACAGGAAGCATTAATGTGATTACAGCGAGGCACCGGCTCCGTAATGCGTTTCTCCCTGCAGAACGGCCGCGATGTGCTGAAAATGCATCACCGGCGGGGCCGTGTGTGTTGTTCTCCGTCGGCTCCTTACAACTGTGACGCCCAGCTGAGTGTGTAAGCTTCTCACCCGCCCTCGCTGCCGCGCCGTCGGAGGCTCGGGAAGCTGTGCGTTCGCGACTTCACCAGATGTTGATTCAAACGCTGAGCAGATGACAGACTTAGCCAGCAGCTGAAGGGAGAGAAATCCGCAGTCCAACACTCAGCAGGCCTCCATCTCACTTTCTCTCCACTTGCTTTATTTACTTACATCCATCTCACTTTTCTTTTTCTGCAGAATCTTAAAGATTTGATGCGTTTTGTCTCCAGCCTGGTTAGCAAGTTCACCAGGATTGTGGGTGTGGTGTAAAATTACAGTGCTTACTCTGCAAAAATACAAAATATTCCCAAGTATTTCTGATCTAGTTTCTAATGAAAATATCATAGAACACTTGAAATAAGAGAAAACTAACACTTAAGTAACTTTTCAGCAGTATGTAAGAGTTTTTAGGAACTTCTACTTATAATATTGGGAAAATATCTTGTTATAAGTGAAATAATCTGCCAGTTCTTTTTAAAATCAATTTTGAAAAATTATTGAAGTAAAATTAGCTCTTATCTTGCTCAAGTTACTAGTGAGTTTGTCTAATTTCTAGTGTACTTGTGGTGAAATGAAACTAGACCAAAAATACTTGGTAACATTTTGTGTTTTTGCAGTGCAAGTACTTGATCTCTGGGAAAGTTCATATCGTTTAGTTTATTTTAGCTGTACACTGCAAAAATACACAATATCTTAGTGGACTGACTAAGATTTAACAGTCTGTTCTTTTCCTTAAGTGCCTAGAGGATTTAATTATCATTATATCATAATTTAAACTAGCAGTAGATGTTATGTTCAAAAATATGTTGAAATTCAGTTGGATTAAGGATTAATTGACTTATAACAAGCTCCTATTTCTCACTCTTAAGTTACTTGTAAGTTATTTTTGTCTTATTTAAAGTCTACTAATAAATTTACACTAGAAACTAGACCAAAAATACTTGGTGAGATTCTATTTATTCCAGTGTAAAATGTATAATTAAGAAAAGCACCACTCTGATTGCGGTGGCATAATGTGGTGGTGATTTTCTTGAGGTAATTTATTTATGTAATAAACATCAAACTACTGCAGCATTGCCAAGTGTGTAGCTCTTTGGATCTGATCAAATGTAACTCAACCGTTTCCAGTTGCCCTTAAAATTATGTATGCACCCAATTTTAATTAGAAAACCAACACAGAAAAGGAAAGGAAAGGTAATTGTTGTTTTTTCCCGTTTTATCGGTTCAGAAACAAAATACTGAAGGGCGGTACCGTCATGCCAACTCTCTCAGCAGATGTTTATAGGATAGCATCTAACTTTTCATCTTTTTTTGCTGAAAATTACTTGATTTAAGTTCAATTAAACTGTCCGCTCAGAATGAATTTCAGTGTTCATCTCTCTCTGAAGACCAAAGTACTTACAAAAGTGGCAATCCAGATGAACATTTATCCAACACTGTAGAAAACATTTGGGTCACCGGCTCTGTAATGCCGGTGACCACCAAACAAATTTACAAGTAATTTTTCAGCAAGATAGAAGCTTGCTCATATAAAATGGTGAAAATGTCTTGTTATAAGTGAAATGATCAGTTATTTCATCAGAGTAAAGGCAAAGACTAAACATACAATGATTTTTTGCTCAAAAGTTTGTGTAATTTGCCTGTTGATATTAAATTCACACCAGAAGTTGGAGCCAACATGGCATGAAAAAAGGCTTTTTGAGGTGTTCATTATTTATTCCCTCCTGTGTTCGGCGTTATCTAAAATGTCTGAAACTAACACACAAGCATGGAGGAACTGAATGTGTGTATAAAAACCATAAACCTGGAATTATCTCTTCCAAACTTATTAGATCTGGACCTCGCAATCTTCGCTCAGATGGAAAAATATTGAAAATCACATGACATTCTTTCTGTTTACAGTAAGGAAACTGTTTTCTCTCTATGCTTATCTGCCTGGAAATCATTTACAGAAAGAACCAGGCGCATTTAGGGTCATAGTCACCTAAATATGACCTGCAGGCGTCTCGTCTCTTTGCTCCTAATTCATGCCTGGATCTTCAAATATTTAAAGCTGGAACTTCACTGAAATGACGGCAAACACTTGAATAGATAAGAGACGTTGTTGAACCAGACAGACGAGACAGGAAGGAACCTTTTTTCAAATTATTTCATGATATTACTGCAGTTCATTTTAGATTAACCAAAGAATAAATTAGGAGATGCTGGTGATTAGCTGCCACTTCATATAAACTGAACTCATGTTGACTTTACCATAAAATGAAGAAGAACCAAAAATCTAATTGTGCTTCATTATGAGTTTCTAAGTTGGATCGGTATGCGATGGTTTGCAAAATGTTGATAGAGCGGGAATGTCATATTTTATTCGCCTTGCGTCATAATTCTGCACTGAAACAAACCAGATGTGGTTGATTTTCTTAATCTGTTTGTCATTGACAATTACGCTCCTGTTGCTCAATTTAAAATTGATCAGTAATTGGTTCTGTCCATTTTTATTTTGGGTAATGTCTTTACAGTGTAACATCTTTCTTTTCTGTTTTGTGGTTGCAAACTGTTCACACGAAAGTGTGAACAGTTTGCGACCACTTCAGAAAAAAAATCTAATTCAAATATTTAAATTGGCTCCTTTTCTACTTGGGCTTTGACCAAATATTAATCGTTCAAGTTGATTTTGATTTTCTTTACCTGTATCTACATGTTTAATTTGCTTTATTTGTTTTAAATTTAAATGTTTTGGTCTTTGCTGCTTTTAAAGAGCGTGGCTGTAAAGATGATTAGCGTTTTAGTAGCTTAGCTTTTTGGGAGCGCTAATGTGCTAATCTTGAATTTGAGAAGACGATAGGCCTGGAGTAAAGTAGAAAGAGCATGATTGATGATACGGATAATTTTGTTATCTTGTTTTTCAGAGGCGCTGCATCATCTACTGGTTTCCAGTTTTCAAAATTGGCGGTGAAACTTGAGAATTAGGAAGTGGAGTCAACAAACCAGTTGACGTTATGGACCGTGTTCGTCCTCTTTACAAAGTCTTTCTGTAAGTACCCCAAACTTGATTAGCACACTATTAACTGAAATCCAACCAATAATTTGATGAAACCAAAGGGCGTCTTCTTTAAAACCAATTTAATCCATTAAAATTTCAAACAACTGCAGGAATTTTTAATGACAAGACATGAAAACTGTTAAGAAGTTCTTGCACCAGTTCAGATAAACCTTCACAGGAGACATTTGATAGTTCAGAGAGAGTAACTGATCCGCCCTACCGATTGTAGAGGCAATAACAAACGCCGTAGTTCCTTTTCTACATTTTCTATTCTGTCTCATCTGCTGCTGCAGACTCCTGAGCTCACAGAAAGGACACAGGTAATGTTATTTCAAAGGAGAGAATCGGCTACGGAGAGCGGGGAGGGGGGTGCAGAGACTATGGCTGATGTCTTTTGAACCCGGGGATCAAACAGCTCATCCATGTTAGTGTGTGGAAGTGGGGAGGTGCTCGGCCCCGACGCTCCCTCCTATTGCTGCAACAAGGCGCCAGGGATGTCGGCTGCATCAAACAGCAGGAACTCTGATGAATTTGAAGCTGTGTACTCTCAAGAGCTCAGCAAAACAAACAACATTTGTAGAGCATTTGTTTGGAAATAGAGCACTGGTTACGTTTAGAACGTCTCTCTTTTGACTGCAGTTATGTGGTTCTGAGTGCTTTACATATACATCAAAATTAGACCTGCAACTAACTGTTTTAGTAGCCAATTAATCAATTATTTTGACGATTAATCGATCAGTTCGATTAATCGCATAAGAAAACGTAACATTACGCATTCTTTTGACTTTATTTCAATGTGTATGTATAAAAAATATTTTCTTTTTCTCTTTGCTTCCTGCTTTTCCTGTCACAGTAACACATTTTGCAGAACGATAAATTGATCCAGAAACTATTGCGATAATATATTGATAATGGCACGCTAATCCAAATTTGGCAACTCAAAGACTAATAAACTTACATTATGTTACAAACACTGGAACTGAAAGATGTTTTATGTATCAAAACTAAAACACAACAACCATAAATACAATAAATTATGGCATCTCTACAAGCAACCTTTGAAAAATCATCATAATGTAAACTAACTCATTTTATATATTATATGATTCGTGGATTGTTTAGTTTTTTAATTTGACATTTTTTAGTAAAGGTCAGCTAACTCTAAAACCTCAAATTGGCAAAATTACGCCCATAAAATAAAGATGAAGCAGCTCTGAGCAGGACTGGAGGTAAGTAAACAATATTTATCTCAACTGTTTGGATGAACTTTCACAACATTAAACTGTCATTTTAACAGGCAAACCCATAAAGCCACATACAGAGTTAACACGTTTACATTTACAAATGTAACCTTCCTAGTTCTGCCTGGATCCAGAATCACCTTCTAATGATGGATTTTGAGTTTTTTAAACAAATATCCAGGAATAAGTACGTTGTTGGTGGTCACTTGTCCTTGTATGGTGCAGGGTGAATATCTCTTAGTTTTGGAAACACCTTTTAGAAACACAAACTGGATATTCTTTGGATTGTTTTTGAAAATGCTGATGCCACAGAGACCATTTGAAAATACAATGTACATAGTCGTAGGGCAGTTTGTTTACTTTACCACATTAAATCCCAGTAGAATATATCGAAGTTTGTAGTCCTAAGTGGATTTTTCTGTTTTTATGTAAAAAATAGTGATAATAATGAACAAGGGAACGTCTTTGCAGTCCATGAGCGGGCTGTGCAACAAGCTGTTAACAGTGCTGGCATTTTTGCAGCTTATTAAATTGAACGTGTCGGCATACAGCTGCTCAACAACAGATCTAGCACACAGTTGTGTTTCTGACCATCTGCTCGCTGTTGTTTCTTCTTTTTATCTTTGTTTTCCTTCTCCAAGTTCACAGGAAGGCTCTCACTCTACAAAACGCTCGTTTTACACTCCTCATTTAGTCGTTTTTATATCATTCACTGGTACAGCTACAGTTTCAAAATGTGCAGCAGGTCTAAAACATGGTCATTTGTAAAAACCGAGGTTTTAAGCATCTCCGTGAGGCAACAACTAAATCCAGTGTTTTATTGTTTCACCTCTTCTCTGTCTCACATAAATAGCATGAGACTTTCTTTGTTTCTGTTTGCTATCGATCCAACGCCTCCGGGTATGAAAGAAAAACGACGACAGGAACCCAGATAGATGTCTTCACACGTCCTTTAAAAACAGATTCACTTCCTTCGCAGCTGCCGATGAGCCCGGCGATAGCTGCGTTATGAGGCCCGCGCTTTCTGCTAACACTCAAGGTGGATACGCGCATGTGTTGGTGTGTGCACAGACCCGGATCTTCCCTTTCATCCCTAAATCTGTGGCAGGCTGCCACGGGCCCGTATCATCTACCACAATACACCTGTTGGGGCGAATTTGATACCTGAAGATAATGGATTGGAGTTCAAAGAGGAGAATGCGGACAGGAAACTTTTCCAGAGGTCGCATTTCATGAGCAATCTGCGCTGATGCAAGCACACACACGCAATGGAAAAACGCCCCGACACACACATGTGCTCACAAGTTATGAACAAAGATGCACACACAAGCAAGCATGCACACATGTACCATAGTAGCAAGTTTGGCATCAAGTTTTGTTTCTTTTTCTTGCAAATCTGACCAAATAGGTGTAGAATCATTTTCCCTTTTCATGATTAAAATGGCAGTATTATGTAAAGTCAACATTATTAGTTTCACCTCATCTTATCATGATATTCCTTCTTCACAAGTCTATCTTTTAATCCTTTAATTTCCATGGCATCCTTTCAGATGTGAAAAATGCCCAAGTGGATCTAGCCCTGCCTTTGAGGCGCAACTCCTGCCCCACTCAGCTCCTTCAGACTAGCCAGCAGCAATCAGCAAACACATGCTGGAACTGCACATCAATTGTAGCAGCTACTTCTCAGTAAAACGCTGGTAGAACCATTGTTAAAGGGACAATAGTGGTGCCATGTTGTGATGACTACCTAGAGGCGGAGCTTCAGAAAGATGGAACTTTCTTAAAGAGACAGAGACCCAATTTCGAGGAGTTAAATCAAAAAGTACATTTATTTTAAATCATATTTGACATTTATAGCTTTTTCATAACTGAAGGTAACAGTCACTTGATTGTTCTATAAATGACCCATAATATTGACCCTTTAAGAACCCAAACAAGGTTGGGTGAGTCTGTACATGCCACTCGTTGGTGTGCAGCCCATAAATCTGCCAGGTGCAGAAAAGAAAATGCAGGTGGATTAAATCTGTTCTCTGTATGCACCGGGTTGCAGAACCATCCTAAACAAGCCTGGCATGCAGGCGCGTACACACCCTGTTGGACCATATTACAGCAGTAGCAGGGAAACTTGGTGTTTGCATTTAAATATAATGCAAAATAAATAATAAAACAAGTCGTCGCTCAGAGCACAAAAGGTAGAACTAGACTGAATAGATCTGCCCTTATGGATCGGGCGCATTGTCTCCGAAACCCGATCTACACCTTTTGTTGTTCAGCTGGTTTTCCCGTTGTATGCTCTGTAAAATGGCTGCTGGAAAAGACAGCAAGTTTTTTGTGCAAGAAATGTGAAGCTGACAGATTGAGAAACGTGTGACAGTGAAAAGAAAAATGGTGGAGAATGTTTTCGAATTACAGGACCAGTACAGATATTGATATTGGATCGGCGCATCTCCAATTTGGACCATTAAAATAAGCGTTTTTACAAGATGTCAGTTATTCAGTCTTGTCAACTGTGTCAATATGGCCTGACTGTTAATCATTAACACACAGGAAGCAGTAAACTGTGGCTCTGCCTCGCCGGCTGAGAGTCACAAGGATGATTGATAAACTCTGTCGGTACCCAGATGGAAACTGTGGTGTTTCTCCAGTTGCACAAACTGTGCTGTAACTCAGAAGCTGCTGATGAATGTGCAGGACTCTCTGCGTTAGTTATGCTGTTGGATTCAACAAGTGAAATGTTTAATTTGCAGATTGTTTGCATGCTCTCCTCGTCATCAGACTGCAGGATAATCAGTGTTTTAATGCACATCGTGCTGCTTCTAATGTCGGCGTTCTGTCTCTTCAGTCATTTAAAGCGCTGCCATTAGAGCTTTGGATTGAATATGACTGACTGTCCTTGGATCCTCTTCAGTTTGGGTCATTTCTCTCGGAGAGCAAATTCATGCACAGATTGAAACCAAAACACTTCTCCAAACAGTTAATTAGCTAAACTGGCACACGCTAACACGCTACACGCGGTTAAAAAAACAGCACATTAAAATAAATGGAGAGAGGGACGTCATGCTGAGAGCTGCAGAGTATGGAAACCTAATGGATGTGTGGGTCAGATTTATGGCAGCTCATCCTCTGCTCTGCTATAGGATAGAAAAAAGTTAACTGGAGCACGCCAGCTCCAGACGCTATAACTCATTCTCCGTCTCGCTCCATTTTATCCGCCGGAGTACATTGGTGAGTATTTGGCTCATTTTGGTTGGGAGGAGCAATAAAACATAATCAGTGTCTGCCAGCACCAAGGTCGACCTGTTTTCCTTATTCATGGTGATGATCGTTTTGGCCTCCGCTGAAGGTTGATGAGCTGTTTATTTTTAGCCTGGTCTCAGATAATGGATGAGTTTGGGGAAGTTTAATTTTGAGTTAATTGCGGCTCAAAGATCAGATGAATATTTTGTGGGTTTTTTTCTGATGTTTTAATCCACAGAGTGGATGAAGGTTTGAACAGATCGATGGTGATTTGTGTTGCGGGTGTTTGGGTGGGGACTGTAACTTTCTACCCAAAGGATGTACGCGATAGATGGAGCTGATTTGTTGTCTGTTAAAGTACCAAATTTATTGGGTTTCTGACCATCAATATACATTAAACAGAAACAAGTGACCCCTATAGATTTACACAAACCCATAACCCAAGAAAATGTTGTCAATTCAAACAGTCAGACAATTCAATTTAACATAGAAAGTAAGAAAAGTTTGTTTCAA